TTTTGGACTTTACTTGACAGATAAATCTGGGAAGGTGGGAAAGGAAACAAGCTATTCACGGAACATTCATCCACAAAATGATTGCATTTATTGAACAAATAATCTCTTCACGCTTTGTCAAGTCTAAAATATGATGACTCTTCTTCCTGCCAAAACTGGCAATGTGCCCTGGATAGGATATTGTGTACATATAATTAGTAGCGAAGATTAAAAATAGGGCAGGGTCACTTCACAATTGGAACAGTTAATGACAGCTTTGCAAATTATCTTGATTTTCTCACTATTTTAAATGAAGTTTTCTAATCTGAAAATGTCTTACAGCAAACCTCTTCAGATAGACCTTTATGTCTATTTGTACAGGCAATTGAATCAGCAATTGACTTCATTCATGACTGCTCTACATCTAGATGCTCAGTCCAATTTTTGCCCTAGAAATCGGGTCATTTGCCACTTGAAGTGTAGTGTCACGTTTGTTGTGTGACACTGAGCCTTCACCTTTTGCTGTTGTTTCTTCAGTTCTTCCATTTAAAGCTCTCTATATACCTTAAGCTGCAAATTAGTGAGTTGTGATTTCCGTTTTTTAAATGCATTCTTATAAGATTTTACAAGTATGGGCCCTGCAACGATCTGTCTGGTAAGGACAAGTCTAAGTAAAAAGCATAATAAACTGACTTAGCTGGGCTTTGAATACTGTCATCTATTAAAAATGTGGATGACCAGCTCAGAGCCATCAGTTCCATTACACCAAACTTAACTCTGCAAAATGACAAATCTAATGCAAACAGAGAAGCTGCACAGTCTCTCAGGTATATGAGAGAAAGAGAGCGTGTCTGCATGCTCAGGCTTGAGTGATTTGGGATGAATGTTTGTGACCTTGTCACATTTCCTCTGAGCTCTTCTCTGAGCTAAACAGTCTTACTCTTTTCAGTGTTCTCTATGACTCTTGTTGTCTGCTTTTTGGATGATTTCTTTGCAGGGACTGACCTACAGTATGCTGATGTAGGACTTTGCTAATAGGGTTTCAGTTCCTGACTACCACCAGCTTGCTTGGCAACCTTCCTCTTCCTCCCCTGCAAATCAAGGATAATAACATCTACCTCCTTTGTGGATTGCTTTTGACACTTATGGATTAAAAAGCTCCATTAGGAGGTATTATTCCAGGGGAAGGATTATTACTAAATTATATAAGGGCAATACAGTATTTTTTTCCATCCTGTTTCTCCTACCTCCTGATGCTTGCAAACGTGGTACCAAATACTTTTCTGTGGGCTGAGAAAAGGTCTTCACAGAACTGTCCATAGATTTAAGCAGGTTCCTGAGGAGTGAAGGTGACTCCTTAATCACTCAATATTTAGTAATGATCAACACTCATTTAATCTATTCTACTATGATACTGCAAGTCTTACGGCAGTTACTCTCAATCCTGTACTGCGTTACCAAACTTCAGTAATTATGTTCTCTGCAGATTTTGCTGCTTCGGAAGCATCTACATCTCTCACTGATGAGCATATTACTCATATTAGACACCATCACACTTAATGGGGGAACTGCGGCAGCTCCTCTCTAAACCTTCTGTTGGGTTAAATGTTCAATTTCATTCTATCCGTTATTTTTTCTCTCTCTAGAGCATTTTTTGATCTCAGCTGGAACCTGTTCTTTCTATCTAGGACTGTCTTAAGATTTGGGGGTTTGTTGGGTTTTTTTCCCCCCTAAATCCTCTTGGGAGGGAACATTGCTGGCAGCCTGCAAAAAGGGAAACTAGTTCCTTCAGTTGATTCTCTTCTATCCTCTGTTTTGTTGAGATGCCACCTGGTGACAACAATGCCTCATAGCATTTCAAGATTCAGAAATTTCTTTCCAGGATCTTTATTTGCTCGGGGTCTACCTTGATGCACATACTGCCTGCAGAACAGTTGAGGAAGTTCCAGCCCTCACTGAGAGTGTCAGAGCTATTTGCTCTATTTGCTCTGCCTTTTTTAAGGAATATTTTAAATACTTTCTCTACTATGCTTTCAGAGGGGTTTTGTTTTGTTTAAGTAAATAAGTCAGTATAGTTAGCAACCTCAAATGAGCACATCTATCTGATGGTACAGAGATCCAATGTCCCATAGTTACTGCTCTGGTTGGTAGTACTTTTGTGTGACCACTCTGTTTGTCTCTAGTTACTGTATGGTTTACCGAGAATTGAGTTTCTCCTTTTTTTGTTTTTTTTTTTTTTTTAATCAGAATATTAACATGGTCTACTTCCAAGACACATCCTGCATTTGAAGGACTGGAAATGGCAGTGCAAATTACCAGCCTGGTTCTGTTAGAAGGAATTGTTCCTATCCTCAGAAGTGCTATGCACACAAGTGCTCTGTAATTTTATCTTCTTCAACACTTCCTTCACCCCCACCCTCAATGTCTGAACATATTCGAAAGTGATCACATTTTGTGTTTCTGTCATCTCCATTTAAAATATCTGTACTGTTGTTTTAGATGACTTTTTGCTCAGTTTCTTCCACTCTTGTTTTCCTTAAGATACTTAAATAGAAAACTTCCCTAGTCCTCCAGACTAGGAGGCGTTTGTCTATATATTCCCAGGAAGTAGACTGCACGTGTATGAAATGCAGACATTTTAAGGCTAGCCCTCCTGTCCGTTACACTGCTTTGACAAATTTTTGAATGTTTACAATGGAAGTTCTGTTTTATCTTCTGTCTGCCATTTAGCGTTGTATCTTAATATTGACAGGGAAAACACTTTCCTACCTTCTGCCTTGAAACTACCATATATTCCAGGAGGTAGAGTTAACATATACAAACAAATATCATATTTGCATTGCAAACTATCCTAATATATTTCCAAAGTAAGCAGTCCTCCAGTCCACTGCTGTGCCTATTTGTAATACCAGATTCAGAGAAGTGGCAGAAACAATTCTTAACTTAAAGTGCACACAGCACTCATTGGAAATGAGTCTCCTTTAAGAAACATTGTCACCTAGTGGCCAAACTAAAGATATATTTATTATTATTGTTATCGTTATCCTTATAACAATATATGTATATGTATGCATATAGAAGTCAATGTATCAGGGTGTATGTACACATACATATATATAAGTATCTAGGCACCATTGTATCAGTGACTATGATTAATACCACATGCCAGCCCTTCCATGCTCTAAAGCTCAATAGTAAACCATTAGCATTTGCTAAGCAAGCATCAGCTTCGTGGCAGTTTTGTACGGCAATGTTCCTGGAATAGAAACTGTTCGTAGAAGAAATAGTTCATGCTGCAGTGCAGAGGTCAACCACCTCCCCTCACACTCCAGACTGCAAAGAGCACCCTGACCAGGCCATAAGTATGTAACCTCTGTGTTTGGAGGACAAGGGCTTTGGTCTTTGCCATTTCAGCTAGTGATATTCCTAGACGGTCTGGAGATAACAGAGATAATTTCCTCCTAAGCCCCTGCTTTTGAGCTACAGCCTTCCTAGCCAAGGCAGCCCAGCTGACAAACACTAGGTTCCCGTGCTGCGGAGATTATTAACTCTTCCTCAAGGAAGGAAGCTGCCCTCTTGCTAAGACAGTAAACCTATCAGCAGTCTGTCATTTCGTGACCTGCTCTGAATGTTCAGAGATGCCTCCCTCTTCAGTGTATACATTCACCTTTTACTATGTCAATATAGGGCATCCATATGCTGAGTTATCTATTGCTTGTCCCTGGATAGAGGGTTACTGATTAATGCTTTTCTCCCTGATCTGGTATGTAATGCTGTACCCTGGCACCAGCTGTGGGGAAAAAAACACCAGCTTTGGGCGTTGTGGATGCCCAAAAGAGGTGTTGTTTTGCTCTATATTACAAAGATGAAGTGACCTCAAGGCTATCTGCGCTGCAGGCACAGAGCTGATTTGGGAGGGTGGACGTGTGAGCCGACAGGGAGCCTGGTGCTGCTGTGTGAGGCTTGCTGCTCATCCCTCTCCAGCAGCTCTGGAGCCATGCTCACAACCGGCTAAGCCCCACTTGCAAGAGTGAGTTAGATGCTTGTGAGCAAACGTTCTGTAGAAGTCATTAGTTTTCGCGTGTCTGCATCATTTCAGAAAGTGAGATGCAAGCTGCCTAGGTCTTAAACTGATGAGTAGAGCAATGGCCACATACATTTTGACGAATTAGCCTCTCTAACTGAGTAGGTGACTGTTTTGTATCAGATTCAGTCATCTCCTTTTCCTGTATTTTCCTCTTGAAACTAGACTTGTGCAAGTCAGACATCTCTCTGTGCCTGGGCTGTCAGAGGGGACACAATATTCTTCTGGAAGCTTTGAAGTCTTTTTTTTAACTATTCTTAAAGATCTGCTCTAAATGTTCTTTTTGTATAGATTAACGTGTGTGTTCCTATACAAAAATATGACCAGCACGGACAGTACTTACCACAAGAAGATCCTAGAGTGTTCTGAGAGAAGCAACTTAATTTTTATTTGCTGAAAAGGACAGTATTTCTCTAGAGAAGGCTAGTAAAGCTACTCTCTGGCCATGTGCATGAACTTTTAATATCCATTATTTTATAGAGTGTACCTAAGCAGCTGTGGCTTTTGGTAGCATTTTTGTATTCTCTGCTCCACTCTACCAGTCTTTCCTCCCTTCTTTTTTCTGCAGGGGAAAGTTTAATAGGTCTCATCTGTCCATTCAGGGGAGGGAAAAAAAAAAAAAAACACTTTTCCGAGCCTTTAAATGGTGGTTCTTCAACAAACAAATGTATCATGGCACACCAGCTCTTTGTGGTTAGTCGGTTTTATTGTCAGAGTTATTTTATTATCAGAGTTATTCACTTATTCCTGCTTCTGAAATGCACCTGGCTCCTAAAAAAGGCTTCATGCACAGGTCTGACAGTGGATAAGATAAAGCAGTTTAATTTATTTCTAGTGGAATACAGGAGTAATTTTAGAGGAGACACTGCATAGTTACATACTGAACTGCTTCTTGCTTTATATTCTTTTTGATTTCATGGATTTTAATTTTTTTCAGGTTGGCTGTCTTGGTTTGGAAACAGCATTGTGATTTTTGTCCTGTATAAACAAAGAGCTCTTCTCCAGCCCACAGACTACCTCACATTTAACTTGGCGGTATCAGATGCTAGTATCTCAGTGTTTGGTTATTCACGAGGGATTGTTGAAATCTTTAATGTCTTTAGAGATGATGGATTCATTATCACATCAATATGGACTTGCCAGGTAAGACTGGATTACATGTAGGAACACTTAATTAGACAAAATAAGTACAGTTATTTCTGCATATGCGCTATTTATAAATAACTAGGCAGGACTAAATGAATGAAGATGAACACTGAGTAACCTTCCGAAGAACAGTGTCGAGTTCTTTGCATCGGTAAATCTGTACGTTTGATCACTTCTTGACCAGTTTGCAGTGATTTTTGCTACCACACAATATCCACCCTCCCAACATGCTGGCTGATGCTCTTTAAGCGTTGCTCTGCTCCTAACAAGGGAACTCTATAAAACAGTGATTCATTATTTGTTTTGTAGGAGAGGGTCTGTAAACTCAAGAGAAGGTTTGTATAATGCAAATTTCACAGTTATTGCATAAAAAATGTCTTTCACTACAGCATGGTTACAATCTGTCTCCTCTGTGTTCTTCAACCGATCAGTTCAATCCACAAATACCATAACAGAGGATTTATTAGTAAATCAGCCTAAAATTTCACTTTGCAGGGGGATTTAGTCTTGGTTTTATGCTTCAACAGTAATACTACTTATTTTATGTAAACTTGTGTTCTTCTCCATAGTGGAAATTATATCCTTTTTTCCTTATCTTGCTTGGATCAAAAGAACATTTGTAGAGTGTTTTATTATTGCACTTGAACTTGTTATGTTCTGCAAGGTATTTTAGACGTTTAAGCTAAAAGGAAAAAAAAAAAGACAGTGAGTTGGCTGGAGTTTGTGTTTCTGGAGGCAGACGTACACATTTCCTTCCTTTCTGCCTTACTTTACTTCTCAGGTATTCACTAGCTAGTATTTTGTTCTCTACAGTTAACAAGTCTTTCTTTTTCTCCACATGAATGATAACGGATTCTAACTTCATCTATTTGCAATAGTTCTTACAAGTTTCTTTATTTGCTTTCATTTCATTGCTACCAGTCATGTTAGAAGCAAAGACGTAGGCTCCACTTTTCCTCAGCTCCTTGCAATCCAGCCTGACTGTTGGCACTTTAACGTTTGACTCAAAGCAATGTAGGCTACTACTTGATGGTGTTGTATAGAGCAAAGCCTTCTCATTTCCTCTAATCACTTTATACTGGTCAGTCTCATCAAACATAGCACTTGGGTATACCGGTATATTTTGACATGCAGCTACTTATATTGAGTCTGTTGTAACTGCTCGTATGGTTAATCTTATGCTTAAAGTCTTTGTTGGTTCAGGGCCTAAGGTAGCATGAGTGACTTCCTTTATCACACAATCATCCCTGAACGTAGAGGCAGCTTTTTGCTGGAGACATTGGAGAATGTTACTATTGCTAATTCTGAAAAATGCACACCTGCACAGAGGGAATATAAATATGTCCCACAGATATATAGGCACAAGCTTGGCTCACTGGCTCTTTTAGTAGTACCTGTGAGAAAGATGATACTCAGTGTGAGTTTCTGTTTCATGAGGGAATCAGAATCCTGAAAATGACAAGCTAGCCTATGGCAAGGTAGAAGTAAAATCATGATGAAGGAGAAGGCAGAGAGAAATAATCCTCTTGTATTTTTTATTTATTTTTGCTTAGAGAAGAGGTTGAACTATTGTGCAACATAATTGAGAGAACTTTTACAGCTTGCATCTCCTTCCCTTCAATGCAAAGGCTTAGTTTGCTCAGAGAGCAACATTTCCCACAGAAGACTGATTAACCTAAAGGCTGTACCTTGAATTCACAAAATGTTTTATTTGCTTCTTCAAAATATGTATGCCTATACCCACTAGGCAGAAAAGGATTTATCAAAAGGAAGGTAATTATTTCCTCAGCAAAATACCTTCATTTCTCTAATGAGAGCATCTACAATTGCATTTTAAGGTCTATTGAGAAGAAACTTCAGGAAACCTCCTTAATTTTCTTTATTAACGGAAGCCTTCAGGAAAGTCATCCTGAAAGTCATCAGGAAAACAAAAGAGATTTACCTGCAAAAAGTAAAATTCACATGCAACCTCAGAATTAAAAAGATTCCTGTTTTGCACGGTATGTCCAGAAAGAATGATCCTATGATTAAGAAATGAAAGGTGAAGTCTGGTTCTCTGGGTTCAGTCCCAGCTTTGCCACAGACTTCCTATGTGAGACAGGATAAACCACTTTGGTGAAATCCTGAACTCAGATCAATGGCATAACATAAAATTTGCAACCCAGCTGGTGAGAAGAGGCAACTTTAAATGACCATTCAGCTTTCCCGATCAAAGCTTATCCAAAAGCCAAGAAACCCCTGATATTTTTAGTATAGTTTGTAGTCTTGTCTGTGATATGGCTGTTTTTTTGGGCTGCCATGTAAAACATAGCATTCACAAGAAACAACACTTCATGGTTGACTGTGTCCATACCTCTTCATTTGCAAGGGAGTTTTCTGACAGCAGTCTTATGGCTTTATCCTACTGTGTGCCTGGGAGTTCTTTGGCTGACTAGGACTATTTAGAGTCTCTTTATAGAGCTCTGGCATTTTTTTTCCGGTGTGAAAAGGCTGGGATGGAGATGAGAACCGTTATTCTTACTGTACTTGAACTGCCTTTTAAAGGAGGGAAGTGGTCCTTAACATTTTTAGGGCACCCATATAGTCTCTTAACTATATGGGTATGTTAAGTAGTTTTATTTGGCTCTCCTGATTTTAAAGAGCATCCATTTGCAAAATCTGGATATCAAACAAAGTTTAAAGCTATTGGGATCCAAAGATTTAGTTCAGGACATTAGTGACACTTGGCTTTTCTAAAGAAACACTCTGATTTGTAAAATATTAAAGTTACTTTTTTAGTAATCCTCGATAGGCTCTAAAAATTAAAATTCATCATTTCAAATAGGAACTGACAGTGTATTCATACTAGCACCTTTTTTTTCTCCCCCATATATTAACAGAGGCCTGTGCAGAGACGGGCAAAAAATACTGATTTCAATTACAGGAGGGTAAAAAAAGAAATACAGCAGCAGAATATAGAATGTTACTGGAGTATATAAAGATATAATCTGTCCTGTGATTAATAAAACTGTTCTTAATGGCTAGAAATTTCATCATCTTTGCATTTGTAGAAATCAACATTTCTACTTCTGCAGAGGTACTCTAGGTTTACCTGTGCAACAGTCTGTTCTGTTGTAAATGTTGTAACTATTTTAGACCAAAAAAAAAAGTTTTAAAAAAAGTAGGGGATTTAAAAACAAAAAATTTTTCCTACCTACCTAGAGCATTTTAGTCTAATACGTGTTAACTTGAAAATTATATTATATGCATAATATACCATATGTATGGATATAGTTAGAATCTTTTTAAAGGATCCAGACATCTCAGCAGAATTTAAGTGGAAAAATACATCTAAAGCATCATTTCTAATTCTCTCTTGCAAAACAGGACTTGCAATACAGGAGCAATTTTCAGCTCATAGTTCATATAAGGAGGAGGACATTTACAATTACTGGATCAGATTCTGATTTCTACCAGAAATTTACATCTACCAGATGTAAATCCAAACAATTCTATTTCCTGCAGTGGACCTACACCATCCATTTATCATCATCCAACAAGATCAAAATATAGCCCATTTTCTTGGCAGAATGAGTAAACAAATGACTCACTGTCAAAGTTTTAAACAAGCATGCACTGGGTGAGAGATTGGATAAATATTTATTTACAATTATTGCATTTAAATAACTGTGCTAAATGGAATGCATCACACAATAGGTTATTTTTTCCTGCTTATTGAACAACTCCATTAATTTTTAATTTTAAAAAGCTAAGAGAAATCTAGAAAAGTCAATTTTCAGTCTGAATGAATTATTTGAGCTGGTTGTGACTTGCTGAGTGAAAAGCAGGCTACACCAATAACAGGCAGGAGTCCTGTTTCTGTCAAGATTTTGTTCTCTGTCGGGAGTCTCAAAAATAAGTTTAAACTCTGGCATCCATCTTCTTTATTATTAAGTAAGTTTGTCAAAGCAGAAGCCAGTGATGAAAGGCAATGTTTGTTAAGATATTTCAGAATTTATGGGAGCAGCATGGCTATTTTTAGGTTTTTAGGAAGAGTACTGTAGAGAAATAGCAGGAAGCTTCTGTGCATAAAAAAGATGCGTATCTTTCTGTGGATGTGTGGGCAATCAGCACAAAGGTTCTTTCTAAAAATATTCAGCTCTGAACAGCAGTAGGTTTTTGTTTGTTTGTTTGTTCTAGTATTTATAAAATGTGATACATGAACCTGATAGCCCTACCAGAATGAGTATTGCCTCTGTTGGGTGGTTCTGGCATGAGAACCGTGGCCCCTGCTCTGCTGAGCAAGCCCTCGATGGCGCTCCTATCTGGCTCTCACTGAAGTCCACAGAAAGGCTTTGGGCTTCCATTTTAGCTCGCTTCAGCACCTCTTCATTACATAAGTGAAAGAAGCAAGAAGCTTGGTACAGTATGTGCATGTTATCAAATTTTACTTCGGATCTAAGATACCATGGTTAAGGTCCAGGAGAAAAAAATATATATATTTTTTGTCTTTGGGGCTGCCCTACAGAGCTGGCAGGTTTGTCTCACCCTGGTCAAGCTAGATGCCAGGAAGCTGTAGACCATCCTTTCTATGACAGCTTTCCTAAGTCAATATCTGTTTGGTCTCCTTGCTTCTCTTGAATTCCTCTCAAAGTAATTGGGATCACAGTTTGGGCTGTTACACACACACAAATACAGCTATTTCATCAGCATGGCCAGTGCGTTTTCCCTAACTTGGTTCATTCTGCTGAATCCCGAGAACTGCCTCACTTTGGCCTTCTGCCATTGTCTGTTCCACTAAATGCTCACTCCTATTTGATTAGTCAGCTTCTGCTGTCAGGTATACTTAGGGAAACTACTTTTGCAAGCTAGCCTGTCATTTCTCTTTACCTCAAGAGTTCACCTGCCTTAATCCACCTATTTTCCTTTCCTCTGTCCTGGGCCTTCTTCTCTGCCCGCAGGTAATTTTTTTTTTAAATGTAAGGTTTACCATAACTGGTGTATCTCAGTTAGAGGGA